GATGAAGTTCAACCATTGGAAGCCAAATCTATCCTGGATCGCGTTGAATCTTTTTACGTCCATTGGTTCGAGTCGTAAAATTAAGTCTGCAATTTCGCTGTCAAAAATTGGCTCTGTACAATTTTTTTTGATTTCATTTTCCGGAGCTATTTCAATTTTTCCAAGTTCAAACCACGGTTTAAGCGCATCATCATAGGTTGCATCCATATGCTCCAAATAAAGATTTCGCTCGAGGCATTTTTTGCTCCTACTGCAGAAGCTAAGAAAGCGGGTAAAGCGAGTAGGCGAGCGGAAGAAACGCCCAAGCCACATTTGGCTGCCGGGAGAACTGCTTGTAAAAACTGTTTATCATCCATTTTCACATTGGTGACCTTGTATAACGAATTTTTTAGTAATTTGTCGTAGCGTACCAAAAAATCATTTTACAAAGAGTTTTGGCACGGCTAAAGCAATTTTTCAGGCAGTTAAAACCATAATGAGCATCTAGTTAGTCAATGACATCCGAGATTTTTACAAGCTCCTTAATTTTTTCGTCGAGCTATTCTTTTCGGCAAATTTGGCCGATTGGAGATCCTAAATTGAGGAGTTCTTCTTTTGTTTATTTTTTTTGGGGCATATATTTCAAAATTATTTTAAAAATGAATTATACTGTGTACTCGTAGTCGGTCCCAAGAAACAAAGTTCGCACTTCTCAGTGTTCAAGTTCAGGCCGTAAATTTGTTCCGATTTCAGAATGTTTTTAAGGTCCCGAAGTACTACTTTATAGTCGTCGGCTAAATTTCCATCAATTAAATACCAGATGTTAATTTTTGTCTCCAACTAGTGTCTGAATTGTTTCCGCAAAAAGGGGTGGGGCTTCAGGATCATCTTGCTGAGTTCCGTCTTCTGACATTATGAGAGAGCTTCCTTAAAAAAGGTAACTAGGTTTACTATACGCGCAATGGGTGTAATTACACAATTGGGGGCGATTTGAATAAACATGATTCAGCATTGTTTCTCTATCTGGAGAGTTAAAGGCATTCTTAAAGTCTAGTTTTAAAAGAACAGTGCATTTTGGATTAGGTTTCGAAACGAGTGTGCAGCTATTTCTGCTCTTCGTTTGGTACCGCATCCTACCTGTACGTTTCCGAAAAAATTTTGTCGCTCGGAGAGGGCCTTGCTTCAGCGCATTCAGACACGATACGTCTCAGCGTGTTGCCTATGGCAATCGGTCTCAATTCTGTCTATCTTTATGAGGGCGATAAGCTTTGCTCCAAAAAAAAAGGTCTTAGGGGTTCGGGTATTTTGCCATCTCCAATGTGATTTTTCAGCCTTGTAAGCGATTTCAGAAAATTAAGTCCTGCATGCCATTCGATTACTAAAAAGATCTTAAAAATTTGGGGTATTATTATATCAGGACCTGCTGCTGATCCGTTCGGAAAGGACATTATCGGTTTGTATAGGTCGAAATTGGTTACAAAAAATTATCTAAAATTTCTGGATTTGGAGCTGCAAATTTGGCTCTCTGAGGGTGCTTAGACAACAATTTTTTACAGTTATTAGTTGAAAAGGAGCAATTTTGTCATCCGAAGCAGCAAGCCTCATTCCTCCCTTTACATTTTCTTCATCGAGCTTTCTACTTATTAGCTTGATTCTCTGCTCGAGGTCATTCAGAGGCGCGCTTGAAACTTGGGGATGGGGTTTTGGAAGTGACACGTCATTTACTCGAATGTTTTTATTTATCAAAGAGCACATGCTTGTGGTCTGTTTGCGTCCACTTCTTTTCGGTTGCTCCAAAAGAAAACAAGAACGACGTTATAAAATTAGCCAATTTGTAACATCTTCTACATTGTAGACGATGTCATATATTTTTGCCGACAGAACTTCCGCCAAGGGAACACGCGAGTTTTTTAGTACTCTCTTGAGTACTCGGACATTTGAGATGGCCGTATTAATATAATTGTCTAGCACTAAATCATTACATATTGTTGCTTTATTAACAGATCTTACATCAACGCATAGAGGACACTGAAACCATTGGGTTTCTTAGAGACGCTAAGAGAAATTTTTACACAACTGATATGATACCAACTAGAACAACAATCACATCCAATCTAATTTATCATCCTGAAGGTCTTAAGCAAACTTTGCTTGTACACTCTTTGTTGTTTTCCTCATCTTGACGCAGCATAAAGGTAAAAAAAAAGGATACTGACTGGACTTTAGGTGACTGAACTAACCCATGATAAGGGGTTAGTGGGAATTTTATAAATCAGCAAATAAAAAAAAACAATTAAATTAATTTAAATTTTAAAATCGAATTACAAATATCAAAAACAAGGAACAATCTCACCCGAGCTCAGAAGGTCCAGCGGTGCACCACCAGACTCTTCAAGCCAGTTCCAGTTTCCCACATCCCCACAGAAAGCCACCTGAAAGACTTGTCTCCAAAACCCCTCAGAGGGGGCTCCACAAACAGGCAGAAACATCAAACATAACAAATCTATATAATAAATATATCACAAAAATTAGGCTAAAACGACGATTAGGATAACAGTAGGAGATGCAGCACGGAAAGTGTTTCTTCTTTTATTTCTTTCACAGTTTACTTTGGTATGCATTCCGGTAGCGACTAGGTTGCGTCGGTCTTGACTTGGGTGTTGATGTATTTTCTGGTGTGACACAAGACATCGGTCCAGTAAACCTTGGTTTCAAAAACTGGCTGGTCACTACATCTGCACTTTTTAATTTCGCCTAAGGGTCAGAAGGTTACCTATAGAACTGTTCAGCTTCTGAATTTTTCTGCACTTTACTCATGTGTGGAGCATACATATTGATGATGGCTATAGTGTAACTTTTGCTCAGAAATTACCCAGCCACGGAAAATAGAAAAAGCCCCTATTGACGACTGGCTGACGTCAGATACCTTAAATCTATTCGTTTTTCACCATCTCGACGTAGCCAATTGATTTTTGGCCTGTCTAAGGGCTAACCATGGTGTTACTGTGCCAGTCGGTCAAATTTGGATATTTGAACTTTAGCAACGCTTAGTCTTGAATTTGGGGTGAAATGCGCTTTTTCAAAAATTTGAATTGAGCATGTCATGCTCAAGTTTCTCGCAACAACTGAAAATACAAAAAAATAAGATCGGAAGAATCGAAAGTAGTACGAAAAATAGGAGCGTGAAATTAACGAGAGCAGAAGAAGAAGAAGAAGAAGAATTTAAAATATATATATATGTTTAAAACAAAAAAATAGGTCTACATATACCAGAAAAGAAGCTGTCACATTTCGACCCAGAGACGTCTGCTTTGGCCCAAAGGGTAGAAATGCGACAAATCGGCCCAAAGGTGTCGGGTTGGTTCCAAATTGATCCGGATAGATTGAATAAGGTAGGAATGCGACAGATCGACCCAAAGGCGTCGGGTTGGTTCCAAATTGATCCGGATGGAGTGAATATGGTAGGAAAGCGACAAATCGGCCCAGAGGCGTCGGGTTGGTCCCAAATTGATACGGAAAAAGTGAATATGACAGAAATGCGACAAATCGACCCAGATGCGTCGGGTTGGTCCCAAATTCATCCGGATAGAGTTAAAATGGTAGAAAGGCAATAAATCGACCCAGAGGGGTCGGGTTGCTTCCAACTTGATCCGGATAGAGTGGATATGGTAGAAAAGCAACAAATCGACCCAGAGGCGTCGGGTTGGTCCCAAATTGATCCGGATAGAGTTAAAATGATAGAAATGCAATGAATCGACCCAGAGGGGTCGGGTTGCTTCCAACTTGATCCGGATAGAGTGAATATGGTAGAAATGCGACAAATGGACCCAGAGGTGTCGGGTTGGTCCCAAATTGATCCGTATAGAGTGAAAAAGAAAAGGACACGAAAAAGACACAAATAACTACAGAGGTATCAGTTTACTATCATGCAGTTACAAGCTTTTCACCGGTGTACTATATGACCGGATCGAAAGATGGACTGAAGTGAATCAAATACTCCCAGACTCTCAATTCGGATTTCGCAAAAAGAGATCAACAATACAAGCCGCCACCAAACTCAAGTTACGATAGAACTCTCGGTTGCCTCTCATAAAAGATATTACGCGTGTTTTGAAGACTTCAAAAAAGATTTTGACATTATAAACAGACATAAACTGCTGGATAAACTACAAAAACTTGGTATCAAAAATAACATGTTAATGGCTATCCGAGCAGTCCTGCAACAAAACATGGTACAAGAAAAAGACCGTCCTTTTCTATCAAAATTGATTATACAGCATGACGGAGTATCCCAGGGAGACAAGCTAACACCTCTGCTCTTCTCAATATTCATGGCAGATCTCGAACCTATTCTCAGTGAGAAATGCCACACAATTATCTGTGCGGATGATCTCATTATCGGATCTCACATACGCCAAAAGATACAAGAGGCGCTAGAGTCACTTGAAGTGTACTGTGAAGATAACCTGTTGTCAGTGAATGTCGAAAAAACCAAAGCGTCAAGTTCAGAAAAGGAAGTAGATTGAAGTCTGATGACGACTTGATCTACAAAAAAATGGAAATCGAAATTTTCACGGAGTTCTGTTACTTGGGTATCAATTTCAGCACCAAATTGGGTCCATCAGCTCATCTTGATAAGTTAATCAATAAGGCGAGAATCAGCACGGAAACGCTTTGCCAAAAACTCAATCCCCAGAAAATCTCTTTTCAATCGGCGACGAGGCTCCTCAATGGCGTGGTAGTACCAAGCGGAACATATTGCCTGGACATAAATGAAATGAACGAAATAAGGAGACATGAACATCTCCAAAAACTGGAAAACCAGTTCTGGAAGGCCTGGTGCGGTGCATCACAGGATCACAGCTCGAGAAATTTGAAACACTATTAATTAGAATACGACTTCCTTAACCTACAGGGCGCGAAAGGAATCAAGTGACGCCTCATCGCATTATTTTATGGTTCAGTACTACACTCATGTACTTGTCACTTTGATAACTGATCCAGCATTCGGATACTCAATGCTATGACTCAGTTTTAGGATTCTCAGTAGGGTAGGAGAAGCCTGCAGATGCAGACTCTGTGATAGTCAGCTGACGGACAATTATCCTTTATTTCATTGCGAGAATCTATGTGGGACACCCTTTCAGAGAGTAAAAGCAGTTTTCTGGATGAATTCAGACACCCTCGGGTCCTGACAAACAATTCCAGACACTCAGACGCAGCTCTGCCATATCCAATCTATCCGACTCAATTTGGGCCTATGCCGACGCCTCTGGGTCGATTTATTGCATTTCTACCCTATTAGTTCTATCCGGATCAATTTGGGACCAACCCAACGCCTCTGGGTCGATTTGTCGCATTCCTACCATATTCACTCTATCCGGATCAATTTCGAACCTACCCGACGCCTCTGGGTCGATTAGTCGCATTCCTACCATATTCACTCTATCCGGATCAATTTTGAACCTACCCGACGCCTCTGGGTCGATTTGTCGCATTTCTATCAAATTCACTCTATCCGGATCAATTTGGGACCAACCCGACGCCTCTGGGTCGATCTGTCGCATTCCTACCATATTCACTCTATCCGGATCAATTTCGAACCTACCCGACGCCTCTGGGTCGATTTGTCGCATTTCTATCAAATTCACTCTATCCGGATAAATTTGGGACCAACTGGACGCCTCTGGGTCGATCTGTCGCATTTCTACCATATTCACTCTATCCGGATCAATTTCGAACCTACCCGACGCCTCTGGGTCGATTTGTCGCATTTCTATCAAATTCACTCTATCCGGATAAATTTGGGACCAACCCGACGCCTCTGGGTCGATTTGTCGCTTTTCTACCATATTCACTCTATCCGGATCAATTTTGAACCTACCCGAAGCCTCTGGGTCTATTTGTCGCATTTCTATCAAATTCACTCTATCCGGATCAATTTAGGACCAACTCGACGCCTCTGGGTCGATAAGTCGCGTTTCTACCATTTTAAATCTATCCGGATCAATTTGGGACCAACACGACGCCTATGGGTTGATTTGTCGCATTTCTATCATATTCACTCTTTCCGTATCAGTTTGGGACCAACTCGACGGCTCTGGCCTGATTTTTCTCATTCTTATCATATTCACTCCATCCGGATCAATTTGGGACCAACTCGACGCCTCTGGGTTGATAAGTCGCATTTCTACCGTATTCACTCTATCCGGATCAATTTGGAATCAACCCGACGCCTCTGGGTCAATCTATTGCATTTCTACCATATTCACTCTATCTGGAACAATTTGGGACCAACCCGACGCTTCTCATTAGAGATGTCTCATTCCTAGAGAAAGAACAATTTGTGACGAGAAGACGTAAAGAAGATTGAGTGGACATGAGTGAACCTTCGGTGGAAAGGTGGACAGCTTAGCTGCCCAACGGTCAAAACAGAAAACTTGTGTCTTGAGTTAAAACTTATTCACTTCAAACTTCTTGAGTTAAACTTGATTACTGGATTAATTCTAGAGTTGCTTATTAATTTAGTTTTTCGATTATAGAAGTCGTGTCGGTATGTAAGTACCCAGTTTAAATTTCTTGAGTGTGTTTTACATTATTATATTGAGTTAGGGAGAGTTTTATGTTGATCCATCTGAAATGAATCAAAGGTCCACTCTCTAATGAAAAGTAACTGTATACGTAAGGTTCCGACCCTGTTTTTAACGGCGTTCGTGTGTTTTGGGTATTTTGAGACCTAAGCATGGGGGTTTACTTATTTCTAAAGTGTGGGGGGGGGGGTATTTTGGTAGTAGCCTTTAAGCTGTAACGCGGTTTGTAGTCTCATGGCGCAAGTGAACTGAATTGGCTCGGACCGTTTGAGGTAGAAAAACACAAGAGATAGTGTCCCTGACTCTTGAGCCAATGGTTATAGGGCCTAATTTTCTTTAACCTCATTAGTGACTTAAGTAGGCGACTGTTACATAGTGTTTTTATGGCGCTCCTGGGTGTTTTAACGACGGCATGACTACGGGATCGAACCCCTTGACGCAGCTCCGGGCTACATGCCCATTCTAGAGTACCGGTGGTACGGTTCAACGGGAACGTGACCACCCTCTGGTTGTACCGTGATAGCTTTTTAAGAAAACTCGAGACAAATTCCCGGTGCGTTTTCCAAAACGAGGCCTAGCTAACCGAGTAATGGGAATGGCGGCCACTAGGGGGACAAAAAACGGGTAAAAAACAAAAAGCAAAACAAAACAATCGAAAAAGATTTTTAAAATAGGAAAAAAAAAACGATATAAAATACAAAAAGGACAGTGGCTTTGACCTTCAGATTAGGCGGATCAAACCTTAATTTTAATTAAAATAGTATACGTATACTGTTTCCAATTAGACCAGTAGTTTCGATCAAACCAGCAACATTGAACAGGCGCCCAAGCTAGGGGCGTTGAAAGGGTTTTCAGATAGCTTCTGACATTAGTGGACCAGTGGGAGACTTGACTGGAACAGGTGACAAGCAAAGTGGGAAAGTGGACCTCTGAGTGACTTGACCACTGGGAGATTTGACTGGAACAGGTGACAAGCCAAGTGGGAAAGTGGACCACTGGGAGACTTGACTGGAACAGGTGACAAGCCAAGTGGGAAAGTGGAGAACTGGCAGACTTGACTGGAACAGGTGGGAAAGTGGTACTCGGGATAGAGACCTCAGAAACAGAGGACACTCGACTGGGAAAGAGACATCAAGCAGTGTGCTCAAAGCAGAACAGAGCAAACGAAGGAAGGTGGTCTGTTTGGTCAAACGGGTATCGTTGAAATCCATTTTTACATTATAGGAAATAAGTGTAAAATTGAATAAGCGAGTACCCACTGTTTTTAGGAAACGTTTTTACTTGAGCAGAGCTTGGAAACAAGTTCTACGGTATTCTCTCGAGAGGTTTAGCACCCATCGCGCTCAGGGTAATTTTCGGCTTAAGTGGGGGGCTAGATTGGGAGGAGGTTAGCAGGGGGGCTGGTTAAGTTAGAGGTTGGTGGTTGAGAATTGTAAAAAGGGCGCTTTCTTATAGTAACTACACAATCCAAATCGTCGATTGAGTTACATTAGAACAACTGAGTTGAAGACTCACAACAAGAGTAGCAACGCGAAGGTACTCGATAGCGAACTCGTATTAAAGTAAGTAACCTGGCCGGATCGAGTAGAAGTGATCGGAAATAGACAGTTTTTGGAACCCATAAGACCGCTGGTAGGGGGGGGGGGGACGCGTGACAGTTAGGAACCAGACATTTTTTACGATAAACGATCCTTGTCAAAATTGCATTTTAGGTATATAAATTTTTCTTGTTTTTGAAATTTTTCTCATTTGACCTTTCCAGTTTTTAAGTATGATTTTTACTGAAATTTAGTCAACAACAATCATAGAATAAGGTTAAAAGCAAATCGTATTTCAACTTGTATTGGAAATAGGAAACAAAAGGAGATTACGGGAGGCTTAAAAAGAAAATTTAGATTGATAGAATCGGGTTTTGAGGATTTTTCAAACAAGTTCTAGAGGAGGTACTGGGATAGTGGACTGGATATTTTAACACTCGAGTCAGGGTACAGGAAGATTCTAAGGACGAGAACCGGACAGGAATTGGTACTGGAAGGTTAGGGAAAGAATTTCATTACTGGGGCCAGAGAAGAGGAAACAGCACATGAGTCTTGTCGGCAGTCCTGGGATAGTGACCAAAGGGACACAGGACAGTGTGGAAGGGTCCCAAGACCGTCCCTGAGGTTTTCAGCAGTCGAGCGAAGGGTCCTAGGAGAAGTACAGAAGGGTCCCAAGACCGTCCCTGAGGATTACAGCACTCGAGCGAAGGATCCTATGAGAGTACAGAAGGGTCCCAACACCGACCCAGAAGATAAAAGCACTCGAGAGTCCCAGGACAGTACCGAGGTATCCTGCCACACTACAGAAGGGTCTCAAGACCCTACCAGAGGTAAACAGAGCTCGAACGAGGGGTCCCAGGACAGTACCGAAGGGTCCTAGGACAATACCGAAGTGTCCCAGGACACTACCGGAAGGTAGCAACACATGAGCGAAGGGTACCAGGACAGCACCGAAGGGCACTAGGACAATATCGAAGGGTCCCAGGACACTACTAAAAGGTAGCAAAACTTGAGCGAAGGGTCCCAGGACACTAGCGAAAGGTAACAATACTTGAGCGAAGGGTCCCAGGACAGTACCAAAGTGTACTAGGACAATATCGAAGGGTCCCAGGCACTACCAAAAGGTAACAACACTTGAGCGAAGGGTCCCAGAACACTACCGAAAGGTAGCAAACTTGAGCGAAGGGTCCCCAGACAGTACCAAAGTGTACTAGGACAAGACTAAGGAGTCGCGGCACTAAGAACGAAGGGTCCCAAGACCCTAGGGAAGGAACAAAGAAATAGAGCGAAGGGTCCCAAGACCCTACCAAGAGATCCAAAGACCTGATCAACGGGCCCAATACTTAGTTTCGGTTTACAACTCTAGGAGAGACGATTTCGACTGGGTTTTAATAAGAAAAAGATTAGAAATTTTTTCTTATAATTTCAATTAGATTTTACATTAGGAACTTGTATATATATTAGAATTGTAGACAAATACAATTGTTTATAAAAAATCATGACGAAACAAGAACATCTCTAACAAAAAGGAAAGGGTTAGGACTTAAGCAAAATCAAACCTCGTCGCAACGAAAACCAACATCAACAAATCTGAGAGTAATGAGTAAGAATATTTCAGTGAACATGGTCAATACAAGAAGCAACAAGGAACAGAAGGCCACAGAGAAAGTGACGGAAGAACCGACTCTACCGGCTAGAGAAACCGATCTTGAGACACCAGATCAGAGTATAGACGGGGCGGAAAGAAAGACGACGGAATCAACACCCATGCCAAATGTAGAAGAACAGGAGAAGAAAACAATCTCTCACCAATAGGCAATGTAGACGAAACAACAAACAACACACCGGAATCGATAAAAGACGATTCTCAAGCAACAAGAACGTCGTTCACAGAAAGGATTGCAGCGATGGTCGGAATGAAACTAAAAGAGAAAGAGGAGGTAATACCAGCGACCGAGAAAAGCCAAACGTTTGGAACCGTTTCCGCAAAAACGACAGAAGCTAAACAAGACGAAGAGCAAGTCACACAAGAAGCAACGGCCAACCAAGACAAACAAACTATGGAATCAAAAACAACTTCACTTGAGCTGGGCGACTTGATGGCAAAGTTGAAACAAATCGACAAAAAATTTGAAAACATCGACTTGATGGAAAAATTGGGACAAATCTAGACAACCACTATGTCCTGCCAAGGGCGACGGAAGCGAAGCTGCAGCAGATGGCGGACAAACTAGAAACGACCGACAAAGAGCGGGAGAAACATATCAAGATAGATATGTAGGAAAAGAAGAAAAGAAGCGACACATTGAGGGAAAAATTTTGGAATCTAGAAACCACAATGGACACAATGAGCAGGGAACAAGCAGAGAGTTCTGGAGCCATACAGTCCAAATTAGACGTACTCTTGACAAATTCAATGGCCCAAGATAAATTAGTGGCCAAAAAGCCATCTGGAACTAGAGTCGACTTCGTGGAACTACAACGAAAGAAACGGGAATCTACACCGTTACCCCGGATTGATAGCACCATGGCGTCAGGAGGGACAAGGACTGCTATGAAGGCGGTGCCTCAAACTCAACGAGGACATCAGAGGGTTCAACAACACATGCGGGTGTACCACCGGATGCCATGATATGGGCCAGTACCTGGGAAATGATGAACAGGACGCTTGAAGCATTCGCAACAAGGAACACAGACTCAGGCAGTCGCAAATCCAGGAAAACCTTCAAAAACCTAAGGAATTCGAGGACGATTTAGATGGTTGCATTAACACCTGGGTGGAGG